TGTATGAATGGTCAGATATACCATAATGATAATTATAAACGCGAGATTAAGCTGTTTGTATTAGTTCTTGTCACATATACATACGCAGCGTAAGACGTAATGTGGGACGCCCCCTGGCTAGGTGGTGCTGACCTCCGAACGGTGGCAAGAAGTGGATGAGGAGAGCCGTAGACCGGGCTCAGTGGTGTGGATTGGGAGAGGCCTATGTCCAGCAGTGGACGACTGTGGGCTGTTGATGATGATGATATGATACATACGAGTGTGTATGTTTCCGACATAAAACAGGAAAAAATCTTACGTCCTAAACAAAATCGAATATTTGAAATTCAACGCGTACCGCTTTATTTTCGTTTTCGTAATTAAGGCTAATGTACTACATACATAGTACACAGATTTGCCATTCTATAATCCGCACTAATATTCTATAGTGGGTTTGTTTATTTGGACGAGCTCACGGCCCAACTGATGTTAAGTGGTCACTGGAGTCCATAGACATCTACAACGTAAATGCTGCCACCTACCTTGAGATATGAGTCCTAAGGTCTCATTTTTTTACAGTACAACGGTCACCCCACCCTTTAAGCCGAAACGCATTACTGCTTCACGGCAGAAATAGGCAGGGTGATGATACCTACCCGCGCGCATTCACAAGACGTCCTAACACCAGTAATTACGCAAATTATAATTTTGCCGGTTTGATTTTTATTACACTATGTTATTCCTTCACCGTGGAAGTCAATCGTGAACTTTTGTTAAGTACCTATTTCATTAGAAAAATTAATACCTGCCAGTGGGATTCGAACACCGGTGTATCACAAGATACGAATGCACCGGACGTCTTATCCTTTAGGCCACGACGACTCTCCAACTGTGACTCTCCAACTCTTACTCAATTGAGCATTTTGAAATTTACTTGACTATACTCATCCAAAGTACTATTATATTACCACTATAAGTAAGTAAAATTAAAAGAAAAAAAACGTTTTCTAATTTTTTTCTCTTTCATTTGCGGGTGAGTCGATACAGATTTAACATAAAACCGTAGTTATGAGTGCTGCATCTCATCCAGGTTTCAAAGATCCGAGTTTTAATGATCTATGTTCACTAGATGTGCTCGAATATGTAAAGGGGTCTTAGCATGATCGTATTCGTGCACAAATTATTCGGCTGTATACTCACCGATAACCTAAATGAGGTATTAGCAGTGAAGCAGTAATGCGTTTCGGTTTGAAGTTTGAGTTAAATACATGATAGTGTGTGTAATGTATTTTTTTATTGATTTAATGTAGTTTTATGCATAATTTAAAAAAATATTAACATTCAACAATTTCTTCTCTATATTCTCTACAAGTGTGGGAAATTTCATAATTCTCCATCCGCGCAATTTTCGTAAAAAGGTTTTGCTTCACGCATTAATATAACTATACTGAGATCTTAGAACTTATATCTCTAGGTGGGTGGCGCATTTACGTCGTAGATGTCCATGGGCTCCAGTGACCACTTAACACCAGGTGGGCTGTGAGCACGTCCACCCATCTAAGCAATAAAAAAAATTTACTTTAAACGCTTGCAATAAATCCTCGCAAATTGTCCCCCACTGAATGGTTCATTAATTTGGAACAATAACAAAAACTACACTTACATTAATGATATAAACATTCATTCAGTATGACTGGTCGAATCAAAGATGCTAGTGGTTCTGCGGTAGTCGAAATTCGACTATCATTAATTGAAATTATAACCTTGGACACTATCATGGTTTTATTGTCAACTAGCGGCCCGCTCCGGCTCCGCTCGGGTATTTAACTAAAATTTCAACGATATTTGACGTTGTTTTATTTTTTTAAATAATAGAACGCTTATTGCGGCATAACTATAATAGTTAGACATATGCTATCCCGACACTTTTTTGTAAATAATAACGTGTTCTACAAAGTCGTAGTACATTATTTTATTCTATCATCAATAGTTTTCGCAGGGCACGCGATGTAAAGAATATTTTATAATTTTTTTACACCTTGGATTACATTATTGGAGTTTTAGTAAGGATCCCTAATTTTTTTCAAAAAATATTATAACCTATGTCACTCGGAAATAGTGTAGCTTCCCAACAGTGAAAGAATTTTTCAAATCGGTTCAGTAGTTTCGGAGCCTATTCAATACAAACAAACAAACAAATCTTTCCTCTTTATAATATTAGTATAGAAGACTCTTTTCTTACACATCTATTATCACAGATTTTGCCAAGATTACACTTTAAAGACAATATATTAATAAAGGCAAACAATATGTATTCAATCTATTCTCAATTTGACTACAGACTTTATACAATAAGAAAAGTTTGACAACAAACAAATAGTATGCATGCGTGTGTGTGTCAAATACATGATAGTGTGTGTAATGTTTTTTTTATTTATTAAATGTAGTTTTATGCATAATTTAAAGAAATATTAACATACAACAATTTCTTCTCTATAGTCTCTACAAGTGTGGGAAATTTCATAATTCTCCATCCGCGCAATTTTCGTAAAAAGTTTTTGCTTCACGCATTAATATAATATATAGATTTGATTGCCAAGAACGCGGATTCCTTGCGTTTATATCTGTATGTAATCTAAAAGAAACAGGCTTTGCATCCGGTAGGTGTTGTTAATTTCTACAATCCCTGTTACACAGGTGACGTATTATGCAAAAAAACTTGTCAACTTGTTCAATAATTAACATGACAATGTCAGAGATAAAACCATCAATACGGACACGTAAAGTTATGGGTTCGCAGAATAAAAAAAAATGTCTAAAATCGAAATCATGGATGCAACAAACAAAAGTACATATGAAAAAACATTTGCCAGTAAAAAATTGTACTGAACAATTACTTCAACTACGTATTTACATGTAGATATAAAATCATAATACAAGAGCCAGTCATTTAAGTTGTGCTCTAAAACTATAATAAACGCAGAAATAAGTTGAATTTACAAATTAGCCTAAAGCCTTGTTCGGACTAGGCGAGTATTTTAGTCGAGTACCGAGTAATTTAGTAGCTAAATGTGTCTGAGCACCAAAAATTTAGTCGAGTAGGTTAGTAAGTAATTTAGTCAAGTCAATCCATTTTGTTCTATTTTTTCGGGCGAGTAGCAAGTAGTTTAGCCACTAAATTACTCGGTACTCGACTAAAATACTCGCCTAGTCCGAACAAGGCTTTAGAGCTGTACTTATTTTTCTGGTTTCAAACTAAAGACGACATAAGTTAGTGTTTAAGATAGCTGGTTCAACAGCATTAATACTGTCAAATTGTTATTTAATAAACGTTATTATTCTTATAGATGAGTAGGGATCTCACGACTCATCTGATGTTATGCGGTCAGTAGAACCCGTCTATGTCTTGACTTAATGACTTATTTATGGCATCCATAGGCCGTAAAATCTAAGACCTCTCCGATGGTGAATGGTTACCATTGCTTATTAACATTAACAATGCCAACGGCATAGCTAAGCCGCTGCCTGCGTAAGATGATAACAAAAGATTTTTAATGCTTAGATGGATGAACGAGCTCACAAGTCACCTGGTGTTAATTGTTTATCAGAGCCCATAGTCATTACCTCGTGACTGTCGTCATCTGCTTTGAAACGTGAGGTCGAAATCACAATTTTATTGTATAACTAGCTGTACCCGTCCGCTTCGCTGGGCATTTAAAAGTAACATTATTATTTCTCATCCCCACAAAGATTCTCATCATTAACGCCCCTGCAACTGGAGAAGGTAGTCCAACACTCATATAAATAGCCTATCCATTAAGGACATGTATTTTCTACATGGATACCATGTTTCAAGTCAATCGGATGCATGGTTCAGTAGTTATAATGGAACATCCGTAAAAACCACTGTAAATTTATATATTAGTATAGACGAGTGCTCCACCCTTGAAACTAGAACGTATTACATCTTCGCGACTGAATTAATAAAGTCCGAGGCACCGATGTAGGCTTACGATGTTTTTAACCCGTAGACGGAAGTCAAATATCATCAGTATCCAACTTGACGAAGCGCGGTTCAAGCTTCTCGTTTGTCGGATATTTTATTTTATTTTATAAACTGGTGAACGAACTAACATCATAACCTTAATGCCTTCACGCACCTTGAGACATGAAGTTCTAATATCAAATGTTTGTCTGCCTGCTTTGTATAAATAGATTGTACACCATCAGTAAAATCTAATCCAATGCAAAAATATTTACATCCAATCAGCACGTACACTATAAAAATAAGAAACTTTTATGAACAACATCTAACGAGAATAGATTGCAATAAGATAAAAGTAGGTATAGGTACGTTAATAATATTCAAACGATTCTGCTTTGCTCTTGAAATCAATAAATCATAAATTATTAATTTGGCAAGTTCGAGTTGTCTAGTTAAGCAATAAAGCAACAATTTAAAACGTGTACAATTATATTATTATCGATTAACCAGCTGATCGATAAAAAACTACGATAAAAAAATCTAATGGCTGCTCGTAAGCTAACCGTGTCATTCACTGATAACCGCCGTGCATAAATTTAAATGTTAATCAATGAATCCAATTAATATGGTACTTTAAAATATTATAATACGCTACAGTTTGTTTGATGTCTTCATTAAATATCGATTTTAAATATAATAATCGTTGGAGCGGATAATTTACAACTAAGCTGTCGGTAAGTTTGTTCACAGTTTTTTGCGAAATTGACTATTTGCGTGTTGTTCAATTCATGTACTTTTAGGATTGAATTTAAGATAAATTCATTTGTTTTTCTTTTTAGGAGCAATCGATTTATTAAGTGCGTGCGTCAATTCCGTATAAGCATGAATGAAATTTACTTGTATTGTGTAACGTAAAGGACTAAGATTGAATCTTAAAAATATTTTCCGGTTTCCAATCAAAATTATTTAACAAACGTTATCATCAATCGATTAAATATCAAATGAAAAATTCGTTAAAATTCAACGAAACACTAACCTTTCGTTAAGAGGTCACGGTGTTCATTCACTGTTTCGTTCACAAAAAAGAAATAATGTTTATTTATGAATTGTTTATTTTTTTTGTACACTAGTATCAACTACGGTTGGCGAGCGTATTGCCGCGTGCTTAAAGCATCGTTAGACGACCGGTACGTCTGCCCGCGACCGTACTTTGCCGCTGACTATGAATACATTGAATACTATGGAGTATGGAGCCCACACCTCATATTTCCGACACTGTATAGACGAATTTTACATTTGTAAACAAGTATTATGTGTACGTTATTCCGAAATTCAAGTCTACACCCGATTTCTTCAAGAGTTTTCGTGAAAATCAAACAATGGAACCCGTGTACTCTTAGGTGTATTTTTTGTTCTGTCTACATAATGTACATATGTTGTAATCATTTTTATTAAATGTATATAAATAGCTCATTAATATTGGTAAGTAATGTAATATGGTACTCTGTGAGATAATTTTGGGCTTATTTATGTCATGTTAGTAAATGTGGGGAGGTATAATGCATCGAGTGATCAACATTTCAAACTAGACACGACCTTTATCAATGAAGAAACCGACCCAGAAGAAGAAGTTATGGTATATAAAGTCAATACTCCACACTACCCTAGGTTCACTGTTAGGGAATGGCTTAGTTATCAAATTTAATAAGCCCAGGTATGGTAAACTTTACTTAAAAAAATAGCCAAACGTATTTTTTTAAATAGAAACCGTTCATTGTTTGTTTGGTTCTTTTTTGGGCTGTTTCTGTGAGTATCGAAAAAGTTGACTAAGGTTATCCACCGGAGAATGGTTAGCAGCGTTTTCTGAGTAGCACACCAGCTTATTGCGATCGCCAGCTGGTAATCCTTGGTGGTTGAGCATATTGTGAGCCCACATGGGTGGATGCTACTATCCTGCTTATTTCTACCGCGAAGCTGTTATGCAATGCAATTGAAACTTCGCCTTCGTGCCTAAAGGAGAGTGGAGTGTATTCATTTATGTTATGATGTCTCTGAATTTCGGTAACCACTAAACATCAGGTACACACGTTCGCTTTATGCAATAAAGAAATATAAACAGACCAGGTCTTATGACCTGAGATATAGTGAACGAAAATTCAGTACCTGCCACTAGGTTTTGAGCAATGGCGTACCTTATAAGTCTTGGCGTTTCATCCAATAGATCACCCAATTCTTATGTCGAATTGGGTTAATATGTGTTCGTGCGAGTACCACTATTTTACTTAAGTCTGCTATAAACCAATCATACATCAGTTTGAAATGTGAGATAGCCGTTATTCAACTACTTATGCAACTGAAACTTTTGTGTCTTGTCTCAAGATCACCACGTGGACCGAGAGGCCGTTGGTCGACCAGCCCAAATAAAATTATTCAGATTCCTCATTAATTAGATTGACATTTTAAATATCTGAATATAAATATTAGATACATTAATAAGTGCAAAATATTACCTAAAATTTGATCATTACTTACAATTTGTCTGACAGATAGCCGCAGGCCCCACATCTTGCTCGTTATATTGTATTACCAGTTTCGGATATTTGAATAACTTAATTTATTTTATTGGTTCATTTTTCATTAACTCGTGGAAGATTCTGAGTTAGAAATTTAGAAAATTTACAAATAAATTTGTATTTCGACAAAAGCAATCAAATTTATTGACCGTTGCTGAGTGATCGTTAAAATTCAGAATTGTCAGCTTCCTCTATATAATTGAGTCTTCGAAAATTCCCAAACAGATATGTACATACATAATAGAAACCAACTGTAATAATATTTAACTGTAAATTTCTCTATCTCACTATTCACTACCACGATTTATTTCCACGGTGAAGGAATAACATCGTGTAGTAAAAATCAAATCCGCAAAATTATAATTTGCGTAATTACTGGTGGTAGGGCCTCTTGTGAGTCCGCGCGGGTAGGTACCACCACCCTGCCTATTTCTGCCATGAAGCAGTAACGCGTTACGGCTTGAAGGGTGGGGCAGCCGTTGTAACTATACTGAGACCTTAGAACTTATATCTTAAGGTGGGTGGCGCATTTACGTCGTAGATGTATATGGGCTCCAGTAACCACTTAACACCAGGTGGGCTGTGTGCTCGTCCACCCATCAGAGCAATAAAATAAAAAAATCTCGTTGGTGCTGGAAAGGCGGGATGGATGTAATATGCTCTGCGTCAACCCTGTCCCGCCGTCTCAATGGCCCCGACTGGGCTCCGGCCCGGTCCGGGGTCAGACACGGACTTTGAGCGGCAGGAGTTTTTGGTGAGATTCAACTCCCACATACCCGCCAGGAGTGTGGGACCCGATGATTTTCTCCAGTACGAAAAAAAAATTCAGTGGTGCTGATGGTGGTGAACAACGTTAATTTTGAGAGGTACAGACAGAATATCAAATGCATGTTTTTTTTCTATATTCAAGATATAACTGGCTCGGTGGCGTAGTATTTAGCGCTCCTGACTGCTAGACCGAAGGTCGTAGCATCGATTCCCACATTTGACAGGTTTGTTTTATCTTTATCTGGGTATTTAATATCCATATTCGATTATATTTATAAATATTTAAGTATAGTACATACATACACAGTCCAGGGAATCCTAATGGGGTCAGATGACCGTGTGTGTATTGGCCCTTTCCCCGTTCTATATTTTTTAATTTAACCAAGGGATGATTCAGCGAACCGAACATAAAAAACTAACTTCTCGTCGGGCTTCCACTCAAAAGTCTGATCCTAATGCTAAGGAAGACTTCGGAAAGACCAGGGATACATATGTACCGCGTTTGCTCACGTCACATGAGGACACCGCAGACAGCATTAATAATTTAAAATAAATCGCCTCTTTTGCTATGTATCTGGTAGCAAAGTACCGTGTGCGACTTTGAGAAAGGTTTTGGAATCAAGAATTATAACTCTAAGATCTCGATCAAGAACACCAGGAATCGCATATACAAGCAGCAAATGTTAAAGCATTTTTGACGTGACAACGTCTTATAATTCGATGGAGCCGGCTGCAGCCCCAAAAAAACTTGACTCATTGAGGCGTTCCATTTAAGGCTTGAAGTGCAAGCGAGAGCGCGCAACGAGCGACAAAGAGGCACAATCGGCCTCCGCGTTCGGCAGCGTTCGACATCTGTCTCTCTCCTACTTGCGTGAGCGATGCATCCGCATGGACAGCTGCTATACAATAATACATTTACCTACATGTTTTCGTCAAGTATGAAGTCCAGTGAAACGTGAATGTGGTGTCAATTGTGCATACAAAATATGAAAAATGAAACCATTCCACATTATTTTCTTATGACATTGTCACGTTCAACTATCGTCAGTAAGCCGACTTTACAGACAACCGACTTTTTTTGACATGTATTGACATGCGATTTTCAAGGTTTCATGCATTTAACCCAAGGGATAATCAATTTAAAAAGGCAGTACAAAACTCACCCAAACAGTGAACACGATTTATTCGAAATGAAATGAATTTAGAAATGCAACGTTTTCTTGAATACGTCCGATATTTTCACTAATAAGGGAATGTGTTCAGTAACTAAGTTGATGAATGGTATCGGCTTCGTGTATTTGATTTCTTGACGCCGCGGTCGTGAGAACCATTACATTCTACGGTCACCTCTCGTGTTACAGCCAACGCGTGTTTGAGACGATATGTTCTGTACAAGGCCTTTCATTGTCACCGAAAGGAAACGGGAGGAAATAATAATATAGCATATAGTTTTCATTTTACCGTAAATTATTTTTTTTAGCTATTGTGTTTGTGATGTATAAAACACAATTATCGTGTAGCTTCTTGATTATTTTACTTCTTATTCCAAAATCTAATTGTAGATGGGCAGATACTTTGGTGGCCTCTATGGTATAAATTGATTAGTAAACCCGACCTGCAGTATGATGCAAAAAAAATTAATAATAAACAAATCTTGTTATTGAATGTCCGAGGGCCCAAGAGCTCAATGACAGCCATTTCACGACTACGTCAAACGTACTACGCTTATTAGATTTCCAAATAAATTATAGACAAACAGAGCTTTTTCACTAGAACATTACTAGACGCGTGTAGTAAAGTGTTGCTATGTACTTGGTTTAACATTTCCTGACGACATTACTAGTGGCAGAGACTACTGTTAACTTACAAGGGTATGTATTATTATTGAATGAAATCAATATTATACATACAACACAACTGAATCGTGACTTTATATGTAAACGTGTGTGGTGGTATTCACATCGTCATGTCGGGCTCCCTCAATGAACTCTCAACGACGGAAACCTTTGCCTATCTACACTAATTTAAAAAGTAACGATCTGTCATTCTCAATGTTGTCAATAACATGTTCTTAATGTTGTAGTGAAACATGAAATTTTGTACTAAACACTCGGTACGAAATAGAAAAGACTGAAGTACGCGGCGTGTGCGACGCGCGCCACTCTCGTGTCAAGTGACAATCAATTACGGCGAAAAAGTAAACCAGAATATAAACAACCTAGCCGAACTTGTAGATATTAATTTCACCTGATGATGTTTCAATAAATCATTTCAAATTTTGTTCAAGTTAAAAATAAGTATATTCGAGGCAAAGGAAAACTGCTATGTTAGTATATTTCGGATATAATTGCTTGGAAAGGCTGTTGTTTAAAAAGAAGCTGTCACTTTTAAAAAAGGAAAAAATAATCAGAAACGCGAATTGTGTACTTTCTCAATATTGGGACATTGTGAGGTGCATATGGACTATCATCGTATTTCTGTCACTAAAAAACTATGCATACAAATAAGGCTTCGCCCTCATATTGTGTCAAAGTTTGCGACGGTATTCACATTGTAACCCCTATAGAATCTGGTAACTTCTTACGACAATTTATCTATATATTAATATGTGAAGCAAAAACTTTGTATCCCTTTTTACGAAAATTGCGCGGACGGAGGAGTATAATTTTCCACACTTATAGAGAATATAGAGAAGAAGTGCACAATGCTAATATTTTTTTTAAATAATGCATAAAAGATACATTAAATCAATAAAAAAAACATTACACACACTAAATACCATGTATTTGACGCACACACGCATGCATACTATTTATTGTCAAACTTTTGTTTTTGACGTCTGTTGTCAAATTGATATTAAAAATTGTTT